TTCCATGATTTTCGTTCGCGACTGAAGACAGTAAAAGACATTTTAACGTATCGTAGCATATGGCTTCCCAGAGATTACCAGAGATTATGATACAAAAGAATAGACGCAGGAGAACAAAAACAGTCAGTCACTCAGAATGCTCTGAGTACGAATTTGATAGAAGACATGAAAGTGAATTAGAGAAAAGCCACATGCAGTCTTCGCTACCCCTAGATGACAGAATAGATCATAAGCATAACAAAATACCGTATCACCATAAGTTGTGATGTTCACATTTGTACGCGGACATGAATACTCTCAGGGTGACCAAACATAGGCAGAAGGAAGTTTACGATTCTCATCCAAAAAGCTGCAAAAAATCCTATGAATCTTACTCGACACAAGGATCTATGAACAAGACGATCAGCCGTCAACAAGTTTTAGGAATCATGGTGGGATTTGATGAAGATTACAGACTACTGAATACAGAAATGCGGCGGCTTCAAATAGTTGTTAGTCATTTGTCATCATCAAACCGACCACTTATATAAAGTATGACTATAAAGAAGTATCGATAGTAGACGCATAGAGACATAATCATATCTGGTTAAGATATTTCGTGACTCAGTTAAACCGGACCCCAACACATCTATGAACCTGCTCAATGGATCCCACCTGCAAATCTACCGAACACATTTGGGGTATACTGAACAACAATTATTGTCAAAGAAAAATAGCAATGAACTCAAAAAAGACGAGTTCCCTGGTGGACTCTTCAAAGGTCACGGAGAACAGTCTTGTCACCAACTCAAACAACATTCTGATGAAATCTCAGAGCGAAAAATGGCCAAGATGTGTTTGGATTGATGTGTGTGGGTGATTACAAAAGAGAGCCTAGGACTTTTCGACAGCCCACGACAGGTTTCGCCTTTCTTGGGGCTCATCAAGTAGAATATAAGGTTGATGGAAACTCGGGGACTACCCCTACCTGATGAGCCCCAAGAAGGGTGAAACCGGTCGTGGGCGGTCGAAGAGTTTTCAGCAACCCTGTGAGTAGTTTCCTGCGATATCTCGAGTATCGTACCAACTGAAACATGAGGCGGCCTGTGTGTAGCACATTCAGTTGTAGAACATCATAAACGAGAGATTCAGTTGAGTCTCTCGTGAAAACCAAATTGATTTGTAAATTGGTGTATTTCTCGAGAGTTCAGGACTCTTCAGATCACCGGTGAATCATCCTTATGTAAAGCTAGCGCCGAATTTGTTAACGGTTAGTGACTCTCCAGGATTACCTGATCTACTGTGGAATGCTAGCTCAACTCGCGAATACGTAAGGCACTAAAATATGAGGTCAAGTCCAGTCAAAATGTGCAACCTTACCATCAGCAAGGCCAATTGGCGGCATGTTATTTCCCTAGTAGTTTTAAACTGTATTGATGAAAAGTATTGGGGAGGTTTTCTAAGTATTTTGCCCCGAGTCTTGTATACCTCAGAAAGTGAAGCACCGAACTCTGGAGGCACTAACCAGCTGTTATTTGTCTGTCCCAAAGAGCATCAAATGTAATGTGAATAAATTAGTTCGTACGAGTTCGTGCAAACAATCCCTCCCACACCAACCACATGCACAATTTAAAAATCCAGAGATACTCTACTGAATTCAAGTTGAGATTATGATAATTTTCCCCACTCGTTTGCTTACTCGTGTAATGCCCGCATACTTACTGATTTCCATCTGTTTTACTCCTCTGTGCCGGCTTTCACCTTGCTGCAAACTACACTATCAAGCCAACATTTAGTTTGAGGTTGTTTGGTCTACGGACTCTGACAATGGGATGTGGCGGCCAATGACAGAAGCGCATTTTTCCACAAACTTCATTTTTCTTCCTTGTTTGTTGATTGCACCACAGACTTTCCAACCCAATCATTATCACCATCATGGACAGTGTCCAACACTGATACTCTGGTGACGTAAAACCATGATTTATTTGAAAGCCTTATTGTAAAGAAAAGAATGAAGAGCTATAGGGAAGGAACTAGTGCTAGCTTAGTGTAGTACTTCCGAGGGACCCACATCTCCAGACACTCATTTAGGCAATCTGGATAGAAACTGACAACAAAAACGCCACTGGCATCCATAAGCAGCTATATCTTGCAGCGTCTCCAATCAGGCGCAGTGAAGAAAACTTTGTATCCATCCTAGAGTAGCGCCGACAGAACCCTGACATACTTTATTATCTCTTTCACACCCCTATGCCATATCACCCCTCTGCTTCCAGCACTCTGAACCGGAAGCAAAAACAGTACTCTTTTCGGCAAACGACGGCTTGGCACGCATAACACGTCCTAACACATGCAGCGTTTGGTGCTCGATAGGTTCTTCAATGGAAGTCACCGTTGCACAACCGAACACTCGCTTTCTAATCACCGATACCAAAACAGTGCATTTAGAGTTCTGAGACAAAGATTGTCGAACACCTGAAGACACCCCAGTTCCGATGCTCAAAAATGTCAAGTCTCATAGCTATGCCACAAAAAAGCCCGAACTATGGCCTGATACACACGTCCATTGATATTCAGGGATGTATAACTTTGACATCATAGGTCCCTCAAATTATCGAACACGACCCGAACCTTGCACTGACCTCATGTGTTACATCACAATCAGAGCTAATACAACTTCCCAGATAGGTGAAACGTCCCACAACGTCGAGTGCCTCTCCCTGAATTGTAAGTGTCATATTCGGTGACTCCATGTTGACGAACATGACCTTACATTCTGTGGGTGAAAATTCGAGCCAAAGGATGAATGTCTTTGGTTACGTCATCCAGAAATACCCGCGCCTTCCCCTTTTCGAAGACGAGAAAGATTTCGTGTGCATCCTCTAGATCAACAAGGTTTCCGTCAGCGGCTATTTGAGCACCAAGGTTTTACAGAACTTCCAGCATTTGTCTCTCTATCTCATCGACCACGAACTTAAACAGGAATGGATAGGGTAAGTACCCACGACAGACACCGCTTCGTATACGGAAGCTTTTGAAGAGCTCTCTGTATACCATAACACCCATGAAAGTCTGAGAATACAGTCTTCTGAGGCAATCGTGAAGGTCAAATTTGTCAGGCACAACAGACTAGTCAATCGATTCGAATGCCCACTGGCTGTTTATCTGTTCGCAAAGCTTGGCGGTCGACTTGCATGAGGATGAGAGTTCAAATCCTCCGGAGACTTGTGAGAAGTGTACTGCCGGTGATGATTTCCAACAACAACAACGAAACAGACCTACAGTGCTTCCCAGTCTTAAGAAACGGATTGAATTCACTCACAAGACGAAACGTCGATCGAAATTTTCAAATTTCCTCAAAATATCGGCAGGTGGCGAAAACAGTGTTGATTGCTAGAAGAATTTGTAGACTATATTGTCACTCCGTTTACACCGGCAGCTGAATCAGCTATCACATTCACCTGGGTATCGAAAGATAATAATCATTTGTATTATTCGAAAATTGCTAAACATTTTACACTTCAATGAAGGCACATTACTTGTCTACAGACAACTGTTGCGATCAGCCTTGTTGCTAATGAACAAATTTCAAAATAAAAATAAGCAGAAGTTCACGGGGTGCACGACTTTCGGTCGGTGGTATTCGAATGCTGCTCACACGCCAATTGTTGCTACTCGAGTTACCATTTATCAGCAATTTTTGTCACAACCAGTCAAATCTACATAGACTGGTGGTGATCAGGAGTATTTAAATTTCAGTTTAGACAATGCCTATATCGAAGAGACAGGACAAACCCCCTTGAGTGGTATTAAACACGTTAGATTTTATCGCCAGGGGTTAGGCGAAATGCTTTATTTTGCTGCGGTCAACCTACGGATAGGCCCGTTTCAGCCATGTGGGCGGACAGTGAATGAGTTTCCGACTAATCCCAATGTGCCAACATCAAAACATCACTTCATGTACACCCCATTAGCCGTCTACGAAGCAAATCGTAATAGAGTGATCGGGGGATGGGGAGTTAGCCATTTACAGCTAATCACATCTGACAAGATAACGTCTCTCCCCCAAGAGATCAGCAACAGGCGTCCGTCTACTACAACATATCTGCCTATGGTTAGGGAGTCCACAGACAAGTTATCGCTACAAGACATAAGATAAAGGAAAAGCTCGCCAATAAAATAGATAACATCATCATGAAATAAAGGGTGTTTTGACCTGATAAAAATCCCAAGTGCTTCGTGTGAAGCATCTGCCAGGAATGACACCAATTCCTAGCAGACAAAGATAACAGTCCCTGAAACGAAACAAGATACAGGCGGTAACGCACTTGCATAGGGTGGATGCCGAAACCTAAGTTGATCCAATCGGGGAACCTGAAAAACGAAGATGAACAGTCCATTTAGCGAGCTGGCAAAAACGTCAGTGACTAGGTGAAATCTTAAACCAGTTAGAACAAAAACCCAAATTAGGTCAATTTAGGAAAGATCACCAGTGAATCCTCTTGTGCTGAGGTGTTGAAACAAAGACCGCAGTCTTCAAAATCAGAATCGGTTTATACATGATAATCCAATAGATCGATTGTTCTCGTGTTCAGCTGACTGCCACCTGTGAACGGGTGTGACTGAGATACACTAGGTAAAACGCAACACAGGTTTACACTCACTAGTTCGATCTGGATAGGGAACACCCGAGGTTTCTAACAAGGAAAATGATATTTGCCAGAGTGGCGTGGTTTATTTCTTCGGTTCTTTTATGGATATAGTGGAAGTTCTCAGTGGATACTAACGTATATGAACGCCGCTGAATAGGTATTCTGTAGCAACACCACAGCTGTCGACGACTTTCTGTAGCTGTTGACAGATCGACCTGCCATATAAGAATGGATCTCAATGACGGTGAAATACCGGTTAAGGAGATATTCTTGGGCTCCGATGAGAACCCTCCCTTTTCAAAAACTTTAAGCACAGTATTAGATGAATATGGCTTTCTTATTCGATAAACTTCTTTCGGTAGATTACAGAATGGCTCCTTGATGAGTATTAAATCATGGAATAGGTCACTACAAAGTAGTATACCGTACGTTTTCTGAAGTGTCTGCGAGCGCGTGAGGAACGTTTTGATTAGTATGGATAAGGTACCTGACAATGTGTCGTATCCGCGAGAGACATACCGATATATAGTATGAATCTTGTTTAACATAATTCGAGTTCCGTGACAGGATGACAAAAATACGGACGAGCAATCATGCCACTATCTGACTAAAATTAAACAGTTTAGCTTAATTCTGAAATCATAGTCAAGACAACGCCGGTTACTACGAACTCTATGAAGCTCGAGTTATCATGCATTGGTTCACTGCTTATTGCCTTCCAATCTATGTTGAATTTTACAGTTTCAGCAAATGGCGAGGTGTGCGTAACGCATGTTAAACGGTCTACAAAACTATGTTCACTTCAACCAGGAGGACCAGGTGGCGTACCGGCGCGGCAAATAAACAGTGCCTCTGACATCAACCGTTCAATGTGATAGTGTTCTACCATATCACGTTTAAATGCATGAGGTTCTTTCATTATGATCCTTCCAACTGAAGAGCAACTCAACTATTTCGGCGAACCAGAAAGAGATTTCTCATTTGTCCTAGAAGTTTCCTATCTCTAAACGGAACTACACTGGGACCCCGCTACGGAAACTGTCGATGATAAGGTTCTCTAAATGTAGGACAGGGATTCTTTAGGGCGGGTAGCAGCACTATTTCGTATCAAATGTCTGGTTAATACAAACAATCTAGCAGACCACTAGTTGCAGAACTAGATTGCAAACCGACCATCACAATTAACGGTTCCGAAATCTCTGGTGTTTGGATATTGATTCTCACCAGTGCTGCTCAGTCCAAAGACACTGCACTCACAGGCTCTATTGGTTCCTTCGGGGATACCTAGACTAGCCTCGTTCAGACGCCTCTCTGTGGGCATTGTAACGATAGTTAAAACAAATCACTGTTAGTGAATGCTACACGCAAAAGGGATAGAGTCAGTCTACCCAGAGTTATCCAGTGTCATCACGATGGTCTAAACAGTTCAACACATCTAAGAAGCGTCCATTCTCTCATTAGTTCGTGAGGTCATGACTCAGTTCCTGGGAAGTTCTAACTTAGTGCAGATAATTGCCTATCACACCATAATTTCGGTCTCAATGGATATTTCCTTTGTTTGGAAAGATTAAATGTGCAGTGCCGTAGACACGCCTACACTACGCTAAGACCGATTACATCGATGAATAAGCATCACTTAAAAGAGTGTGCAAGCATAGCTGGGATGAAACTGAAAGTTAGAAAAGACCGATTTATCTAGCGCCGAATGCAGTGCTCTCCAACTAACGTTAGCTCTGTGGCGACCTGATCACCTATGTGACAACACAATTGGAAATGAGCATATCTATCGTTCTCTAAATTGGTCGAAGAGCAACTCGAATAAACAAAATGACGTACCTAGCTTTGGAAGTGAACCGTCGTCCCTTCGCCTATTTGATGGACTTCGTAGCAACCGAGCTACCGAGTATGCTTCGTAGGTCAAAACGATGTGATTGACCTTCAAATGGGGATTTCCACCCACCTACTTAGTGGCCTAAGAATCCGAAAGAGCAGCGTCCTCAGTGAGTTCTTCCTATGATATGAGGCGTGAGACATTCAATTGCAGCGTCATTGGAAGCTGGTAAAGCGATCTTCCATCAAGCGGAATATTGATGATTCCAGTCTATCCGAAAGTGCCACTTTTCTAATCAGTAACCACATGGATTAAAGTCCGAAAAGGGAGAAACGAGGGCCAGGCTACAAATTGAGAACCTCAATGAGAGGCTCAACTGAGATTTCGTTGTGTCTTAAATGAGAGTATGACTCTGCCTACATAAAACTAGCTGTGTAAGTAAGAAATATGGTTGATGAAAAGTAGAGATTCACGCCTACCTGTTCAGCCGTTAGAAGCTTTCATCAACCTTGTAAGTAGCCTTGAGTCGAGATAGACACGGCTTGTCGTGTGTTTTTGATCAGTACGCACGACAATGTGCTTACATGTAATGGATATGTAATAGATATACAATTGTAAACAAGGGAGTGACTGTCGCCAGGTTACTTATCTGTGGACGTTTTCAACTAGAGAGGAGAAGACGTAATCAAGTTCTTTAATTTACGAAAACCCGTGTTCCAAAAGCTTGGCGCCCTAGGAATGCACGGAAGTGAGACCTACATCGATACATGCTTGTGGTCGGAACAAGTTATCCGGAGCAAATGAGTAAATTTTATGTTCTTAAGCAAGACCCCAACAAGAAACGAATAAGAAAATAATTGTGAAGAACAACAAAAAAGTTTTATCGATTGGAAACTGAAAAAAATGACGAGTATCATGCGTCGTCCAATCTTACTGAAAAGATTCGGTAACTTCAAAGCATATCGTGTCTGTGTCACATGTCCAAAAGCACTGTAGGTCGAGCCAAACCAAGGTGACAGAACGGTAGGCCCACAGACGCAGTTGGCGAAGCGCTCTGCTATTGTGATAAACTAGGGAATCGTCTCCAATGAAGCCTTGAACCAAACACACACACACACATGGACACCACGTCAGTCCACTTCAACCGAGCTCAACCCTAACCCCATCCACAATTTAAAATCAACCTACGAAATTGCGAATGTATATACACACACATACGAGAGAGTAGCAGAGAACAAACGGTCTTTCACGCTAGTCACTGTTCGATTATGTTCAATTATGAAAAAAACGAATTATAAACGACGACAAAATATGACAGACTGAACAGTCCTCAGATCTTGAAGCAATGAGGATACAGTGAGAAAACGAACTAGAGGGCAGACGTGGTCTAATGTAGTTGTTTTAACTGACTAATCTGAAACAATCGCCAGCATCATTAATCACAACCTGAATGAATCGGAAGTCGAAAGCAAGAGAGGAGCCCGGCTAAGACTAAAGTTGATGAACACGATGAAAGACAATGCACCGTCAAAAACAAAGTATAGACAAACAGAAGACTGCATCAGAAATAAATGATTGTTGAGCGAACTTTTATCTAGCGTGTCTTAAACACAAGTTTCAACTAAAAACTGGAAACCTGAGCCAGGACTGGGAGCTACCAAACACAGAGCGTTGCAAGATTGTGGAGTGACCAGCTCACATGAACATGGATTCGTGAATAAGTAGTGTATCATCAGTGATCCGAAAGTCACCATCAATCGGGAGCCGGATTACAATGACCATGTTGTTTGTGGTAGAGTGATAAAAGTAACTAAGAGGATAAACATAGTTTCATGATTTTTCTCATGAACGCGTATGCGGCCACTATATGTTGTCATGTAGCGCAACGGTGAGCTTCAGCCTCGATATTCACAAATCACCATCATATTCAACATCATATTCATCATCACCAGGTTGAAAGTCATTTGCAGCTTCAAACTTAATTACAATTGAAGGTCGAAAATTAACCAGCCTGAAGTCTCGCTACCGTTTCTCATAGAAAACAGAGTCAGCTGTACACTCCACAAAGACTGAATCCTAATCCGTCCAAAAACATAATCTGGAAAGGTGCCGCTGAAAAAAAAACTAACGAACAAAAAATGTTCTGAATCATGCATAAACTGCCTGAAATTCATCAGAGAATGATTCTGGCAAAGAACAAACATAACCACTCAGCAAACGCAGAAGTCGGAAGTGTTCTTTCCAGAGCAGTCTTTAAATAGGATAATAAAAGTTAGTTTCAACGGTTGTAACCGTTTCTTTATCTTTGTCACCGCACGTAGGAAATGGTGATTACCAAAGAAACTTTCTTTCTAAGAAAAAGTTTATACACATCCCACTAGTGTTCTTAGAACCGTTCCATTGGACACTCACTTTCAAACCCTTCAGGTGTTTCAAGTGCTACTTATTCTGAGCTGATTTGGTAAAAGAAGCTGAGTGCAAGCACCCGTCCCTATTGAGTCGTACTGATTACTGGTCTAGAGCTTCACCCCGGTCAGACTTTCGTTGTGTTTGCTATCTGTTTAACTTTAGATTTATACGACTTAATTTATGGAAACCACACGCTCACCTAAATTCAACAGCACATCAAAGATTTGCTCACTACAGTCGTCGTCAAATTCTAAAAAATGGCAATTGGTTCGACTGCCTAGCCGTTTTTTCACTGTAGACCCTTGAAACATCAGGGTTTTACCAGTACTGTGAAGGGTTCAATTCGCCATAGCTGCCAGCTTGAATGAATTGCGAATGGAAATGATGGTTCTCAAAAATTGAATCTCTGGAAATTGGGAACGGATGAGATACGCTAGCTCTTAGAAGCGACCACTTCTGTTGCAGCTTGTTTTGCCAGTTCGGTTCGACGTCGTGACGACTGCGGTCGAAAGTGGGGGTGTACAACCTCCATGATAAAAAGTCAGAGACTCTCAAACGCTCTTACGAATAGTCTTCTCAGTAGCCAGAGTCATAACGCTCGTTCGGTGTACAAAATGGATACTTATAACAAGCTACTTGTTATTTTGACAGTGTGCAAAACACTTTCCTGTCAATCCACCCTTGAAATCAGAAATTTCTGTGGCAAAATTCGTTGTTTTTTCTAATCTCCAAACTAGTTTTTATCTTGGTCCGCGGAGCTTCGTTAGAATAACCAAACTGTCCCCTACCTATACGGTTTGAAGGAAACCATTAAGCCAAAATTAGCCGTTCAGAACTTTGTGAGAGTGCACCAAAGATTCCGCTTTCCGGACGGATTTTCAAGCTGGGCTTGGTTGACTTGGCGATGATGTTGGCATTATTGTACAGAAACTGTAATGTTACAAAGGAGTGTATATACAGATGCTAACCGAGTGAAACTTCAGATATAGCTTTATATATTACATATGTATGTGTATAACTTCAGATATAATTATGCCTGAACTTCGCGTTCTAGCGCAGGCTGAGTGGGTACGAATACAATTATATGATGACTTGACCGTACACCATCCGGTTGTGACTGCCTCATCCAACTGCATTTGAATACGCTCTCTTCCCAGTTAAAAAAAAAGAATAAAGGGACTTCAACAAAATGAAAGATACTATAATCTTTCCCTCAAAACTGACAGTCTAAAATGTAACTGCTGTTGGTTGTTGCCTGTCAGTGCACTGCTATCTAGTAGTACTTGAGTTTTGTACTTTAGCACACTCCGGCACTACACTAGGGGAGCAACGTGCGTTAAGGATCCATTCTTAGGAAAAAGGAAGGCCGCATAAATCCCGAAAAAAGGAGAAATTGCACGCCGGGGAAAATTTGGCAGTAAAGCTTGTGAAAACCGCTCAGAAACGAAAACGTTCGTTATATTGGACGAGGAGTCGTTACAGTGAATCGAGAGAGGAGTACTTTCCCATGGTGGGCAACATGCGTAGGTTCAACGATAGCATCTTAATCGTTAGTAAACCTTTGGTTAAAAAAAATTGATGCAGTGATTTTGTCTCCCGCAGATAACAGCAAATGGGATGTTCGGAGTACAGAAATCCATTTGTGATGCGTCACATCAAAGAGCTAAGGTACACGACTCACCTCTTCTTGAGCTCAAGTGCCAAAGAAAAATCTGACCGCTCCTCAGTCAGTGTCAATACACCCCGGATGCCGGTGGTCACCGCCCGGAGTACAACATCTTCGATGTCCTACACAGGCAAACAAAATCAAACGATTCACTTGTACATCTTGGTAAAACTCTAAAAACTGACGGCTTTCCTCGAGCAGGGAGAGCATCACTATAGCACCACATTCTCAACCAACTAACGATCTGTTTATAACAGCAAAATCGACAAATGGAATGCAATATGCCTTAAACTGCGATCGAGCCAGTGGAATCCCACTCGACATCAAACAAACGCCGCCCATTAGCTTGGTAGGGCTGTCCCGTTTACTTTTTGGGTCCAATATGTGAAAAACATGGTAGTACCTCTAAAAACCGATTCATTCGAATGGTTCGCAACAACAGCCCGTAGAGCGTTGATCTATGAAAAGTTCATCCATCGATTAGTCGTTCAATTTTATTAACGGTCCTGTAAAATTATTAGGTTTGGGTGGAAATATTGAAAAACCTCAATTTCGATGGACAAGAAACGCCAAAAATAACCTATAAGGGAAGGAAGGCTAATCGACATCAGTATCAGCAATAGAAACTGTAAGCTATACTGCAGTTTAGGGTAAAACACGTTCAGATTTTCCATTTTTTAGAAACTCCAAAGTCGATAAGAACGCCGGAAGAAAACAAATAAACTCACGTCTTTGAATGAAGTATCACATAGGTGGCAGTGCGTGTCAATCATCTCTGGAATTGAACGCGAGCAGAAAAGAGAATGCTATGTGCGTGGATAAGGTCGGAAACAAACTGACGACCTAATAGGATTTTCACTTAAGCTCACCTTGTTTATCAGTACTTCGAAATGCAACGTATTAATTTATCCCGACTAATACTCTACACCAATAGGGAAATGGATATGAACTAGAGGCTGATTGGTTGAAATTTACTGCGCGCAGCAAATGATGGGCCGGCACGACAGTGAGAGTGGTCGCTTCAAATGATGCTTGGATCTTCACGTTCCTAGTCGTGTTGAATTAGCCGATATGGAAGCCATCTGTTTGTCTTGTCGGCAGCTTTCAAGACCCAGAGGACGCCTATTTCCACCAAACGTGCATTTCTAAATTAATACAGGATAAAAACAACCTGAAACAGCTGAGGAGTTGCCACTTAGAAGCTTACCTGGTACCAAGTAGGCAAGGCTATGCAAAACGGTAAAAATACGGAGCAACCTAGACACACAGATTGAATTTTTGGATCGCTAGAGCAGACTGAGCCAACTAATGGCGGACACGATGTCTTCCAGACAAACTCTCGTTTAATCAGCACAATTAGACGTCGAAGACTAGCTACCTTTGAACAAAACGTATAGTCTGCACTCTTAAGCATGAAAACGGTTCTTTTTCGGGCGGTTAGATAAAATATCTACCGGAGTGAAAGCATGCAATTGAAAACATGTGATTTTTAGGTACGCTATCGGACAAACTTCAGTCAGTGAATGGAATAAAGAGGCAAACATGAATAAGCAGATCATTGTTATGAATTTTCCGATAAATACTTTGCGTATATTTCGTCTACAGCTTCAAACTTGTTCTCTGCAGCATTGAAAAATCACTCGTTTACGCATTCCTATGAATGCGGCCTTCAGCTGTAAGCCGTTTAGAGTGGTACTGCCCATCAGGACCATCTGGGTGACCTGTCCGAAATGATAATTTTTGGGGAACAGTCCTTATTTGGAGTGCTGGATGGACTAGATTCTCTGTTTTACGTGACTAAACAATTGGTCTTGCTTCAAATTTTGAAGTATTATATAGAACGTTTAAAAGCAATCTATACTCGTGTAAACCCGTTTTTAGTGTAGTTCTCTCACATTGAACAACAAACGTGAGATCCTACCAAGGATTAAAATGCTTATTCTCTCGAAGAATCACATTAGACGAAGCGGGTGATATGCACCCTTTTGGTGGCATTGGAATCGATGTGTTGTTCTTTGTCATTCGTCAACGCATTTTCTTTGAAGGGGTATGATTTGCCGCTTTAAAACTTCCCAATCACGTAGACAGCATCACCTGTGGAACAGTGTCAAACGCGAACTTTTTAGCCTGGTGCTCCGTCATTTAGATCACCTTCGCGAATGACCGAAACTATTTCACTCGTGACGGTGCTGTCAAACTGTTTTAAATAAAGCGATACAGTAAGCGATAGACCAGCCAGTGAGAACGAAACACAAACATGCATTTTGTGATGTTCCAACTAAACTACACCTGAAACGTCTCGCACCTGTGACCTTCCAGATGAACTCCCAATCCACCAGAAGCCGATTTACGGAATCGCAAAAATGTAAGCTATTTAAACAGAGCGACTTCGGAAAGCACGTTTTATGATTATATTTGTAAATCAAGATTTCGTCCTGTAAGTGAAGTCAATGTATGCCGAAAAGCTGAGAAACAAGGTACAGTTGGATTACCTTTCTTGAGAATCATCAGCAGTGAGGATCTCACGTTCTGAAGTGTTTCGAGCCCTCAACCTTTCGACCAGTAGTTGAAACAGTTCACGTGTCAGTCAACAGATGACCACTTGGGTGGATTCCGTAATTGAAGGTTTAGTGGCGTTATCCTGTCAAAGTGACTTAATTACACTACCGGTCAGCCGCTCGTCTCCGAACGGTTGGGCATTCCATCCAGTGTCAGGAAAGTCGTGGGTTTGAGACGCTCTGAGTTTTCGTAAGACGAGTGCCACTGATGACTCTCAACTAAGAATGAAACAACTGTAAGGTGCATATCAGCTTTTCAGCACAGATCGGCATCATTTACCATTGAAAACTCATTTGGAAATTCATTAATCTCCCCAAACCAATTATATTTGCATTATCATAGTCATCCACAAAGTTTATTGGTTTGGAGTGTGCCGGCTTCAACGACTTGCAGTTTAGAAGTACGGTTGTATTTGGTGTGACAACAGCATCATAATGTACATCAACATGTGCATTTTAGTTATCATCTGCAACAGAACTCCCGTCCTTCTGCTGCAAATCTATTGTTCCATCGTCTGAGCTAGCATTTAGGGAGTGTTTTATGCCCACGCATTTTGGTATCTTAATGAAGAGTTCAAAACAGCATGACTTCAATGGAATCAACCACTCGCATGCCGACCGAGATGATCCCGACGTTAACCGCGGAAAATCTTCCACTCATGCTGTCCACCTTTAACTATATATCATCGTCAATACTGCTGTGACACCAAGTCAAATCGGCTGAATCGTTTCGTTTCCGGAAGCTTATCTACGGAAGACTTCAATCAGAGAAATGGTCCATCTCGAAAAGACAAGATTTCCTGGTTAATAGGACACACAAATTTGCGACACTTCTACTGGTCAATAGTGATCTCTTCCGGAACTCCGTGCAGTTCTGTCTGAAATTATTTATTTCACGCCTTCTTTATGTCAAAAATTGTATACCTAATCATTTCTATCAAATCCATGTTCTGAATCAATTTACTAGTATCTTTGCAACCGTTACCCTATGAAATGCAGAATATAACCTGGTGTAGCTGAGAGAAACCCTGATTTTTCTTCAGTTACTCGTCAAACGTCATTTAGTTTACCATAGTATGCGCAGCGTTATTTGAGTCACCATTTTCGGTTTTGTCCACTTTCACTCAACTCAGGAGGCCTATATTTCAAAAAACGCAGTTAACATGGTTTACATTTTGTTGCAGCGCAGAAATTATTATTTTGAGTCTTGACTGAGCGCAAAATCCCATTAAGACAACTTCGCTGAGTTAATCAAATTCTAGCACTGAGTTCCACTGCGAGCGGGTGATTCTCACAAACTCAAGTAGTCCCAAGGTCCTGGGTGAAATATATTCGGTCATGCGTGAATTGCGCTGACGAGATATCCTCTGCATATGAACAAAACAACGGTTCAGTCAATTGGAAACAGCTTGGGACCGATCGACAGGCCATTGTCTCGGCATTTTCAACAACCCTTCTTTGAGTATGAAAATCCTGGTCATGTAAGCTGGCTAGGTTACAGGGTTTGGTGGAGTTTTATTACCAATAAAGTGCCAGTCAGCGATACCTCCCATTAAAGTCAGACTCAAGCAGTGTTAGGCGTGAGATGAGTGATTTGCCAGTTATTGCGAGGGAGCAGGAATTACAGCGGTGTATGATGGGAAAAACCCTACGTTAATTTGGATCAGATTTCGACGCCTGGATTTTCTAATCCACCTTATTCCACTGAAGATTCTTCTTGAGTATCAGTCGCGATGTAATTCTCTATGTGCGTTGAAAGAGCAGGGTTGCATGGTTGTTAGGTTGGGATTTCTACTTTGGGTCTGGGCCAATTCTGGATTGTGATATATCTCTGCCCGTCCATTCAGTTGACCAAACCCCTTCTCCACACGCTGCTAGCTCTACAACCTCTATATTATCCCCAATGGAAACCTCAGTAAATTCGACCTCTTCTGCCATCAATCAACGTGGTGGGATTCTCCAGGCCCGCCACAAATATTCCTGTGTACGCTCCGACACCGCCGAGTCCTCAACCAGCGCCTAATTTTCCTCTGCGTTCTCTGCTCTTCTCCTGTGCTCACCTATTCCGATGCGTCATCTTCCGGCTGGGTATACAACACTGGACCTAATTTTTTTAATACACATTTTTAATCTTCTCAACAAGGAGGTGATTTTCCGATTCCAGCACTAATGAACATAAGGTTTTTTTATTTCAAAGACGCTACCCTAATGTTGACTGCGTCTAGCATTCCCCGAACGACGTAAAGCGTTTCTACTACAAACCACTCCTTACTTGGTCCACACACTGAGAGAAATATAACCTTTAATAGCAGCTTGCTCAAACATATTGTGTATCCACTTTTTGAAGTCCGTTTCTGACTTCAGTCAGAACTACCGTTAAGCCTTCCACCTAATGTTGCTGATATAGTACGTATACGCCGCTTCGGACTGGACCAAAAGTAGCTTGAGACAGCGCCTGTATCTGTTGGTTCCTGGTAAATGTGCCGCTTATTCATCCACATCAAATGAATAAAAAACTGTTAACCGATTGTTAACGTTGAGTTGGCCTGCTGTCCGAAAGAAACCTGTCCAAAACTGCACTGCTGCATTAATCCTGAAGAAGCCCTCGTGTCAAACGCAAAACATTGTCCATCAATAAAACCGTTTCTTTTCTAAACCTTTTATAAACTAAAATAACGGTTCACGTAAGTCCGTTGGACTACAGCCCCCGGACAAATGTCACGGAGTTGAGGGGAAAATGTTTGGCCTGATGGGATGCCGGAATGAGCAGTATACTGTGACCTAATTTGACCGATCGAAGAGGCTTACGAACAATTTTTCAACTACTTATCAAAAATATGATATAAAATGAAGTCAGGAGTTTAAAACGGAAACTGCTACAGAAAGCAAGGTGAATGTTCCTGAGGAACGCAGCCAAAAAAGTGAAGGGTGCCTCAAAGTTGAACAGATCCATCAACTCGAATTAGGTTTGGGATGTGACCTACACAAACTTCGAGGTTAGTCAGAGATATAAGAGATTAACCAGGGACCACTTAGTGACTATAGCGCAGAAGCAGGTGAAGGGTCAGAGCACCTAAAGAGGAGGTATTGTCCGGTGCTGAGAGGAGATTCAAATGCGAAGGTTCGGGCAGATTAGTACGTTACGAGCGAGAGATTTAAGAAAAGAAAGAATTACAAATGGCCGAAGTGGGAATATTATATCCCGGGAGGCATGTCA